GAGTACCGGGTGATGTATGGAAGTGTTGAATCACTATATTGTACACCTAGAGCTAATATAACACTGTATGTTAACTAACTGGAATTAAAAAAAAAAAAAAACTTACGGCAGATGGATTAAAAAACAAATACCTATATATAAAAATAAATGATTATAAGGAAAGAGAAAAGAAAATATGTGGTAATGGATTGTATTTGTTTGGCTATATATAAGAATGGGATATCTTTCTGTCTGTGCAGTTGTAGGTTGCCTGGGATGGACCTCACATTCCGGTTTCATGATAATTCAATAAGAGAAGAAATTTGTTTTTTTTCCTACTACTTTTGTGGGGAGGTTTTCTGGGTTTAGAACATTTTTGCTTGTTTTTGTTTGTTTTATTTTCCCAACATTGTCACCCATCCACCACATTACTACTAGGGTCACTATCATTTAGAGGAGATACAGATGGTATAAAAGACCAGGAATGTCTTGGAAAAAAAATATTTCTTCATGTACCAGTGAAGTAGGGAAGAAGTATTCTTTTAACATCATCCTTAAGGATTCAGGCATCGCATCCACAAAATAAAGTAGATGTCCCTCCGATGTTTTCCATAGCATTCTGGAAGAGATTTTCTCAACATTACTGAAATGTGACATAATCATGCATTTATTAGTTTGTCTTCTCTCATGTCTGTGAGCTAGATGGGTGCAAGTAATGTCCATTGAGCACAGTGCCTGCTACATGTAGATTTTGATACTGGGTCATGGAAATAATAAGCAAATAAAATAAGTGATTTGATCTTCACATTGTGTTTTTCATATATTCTGAATGCATAAATATTTTTGTGTGTAGTAGCTTGTATTACTTTTCATTTATGTTCAAGGATAGGAAATTTAAATGTCAATAAAGTTTCAATTACCAAAAGCCACAAATTGATCTAAAAACGATAAAAATGTGCCAATTATATTCATGCATATAATATATAAATGCATATGTTTCTGAATTTGAATCTGCATATATAAAGTATCTAATTATTGTGACTATCAGATTATAGAAATTTAGAGCAAAAACAATATATAAAATTTATATAGTCACAAGACATTAGTTTTCCATTTGAGGTAACCATAGTCTATAAGATGATACAATTCTAGCTAGGCCTTTTCAAATTATCTAGTAGGGTAGTAGTTGGATATTTATAGGAAGAAGTCCTGTTAAACCTTTATAGGAAACAAATTGGTGAAGTTGCTTATACGGGAAGAGAAATAATTTTTCCTTTACCCCTTTAGGCTCTTGGCTGAGACTTCACTGGAATAAAAGAGATTAACGGGAGAAAAACAAACAGAAGTTCAATAACATGTACACCTCCTGTGTACATGGGAGATAGCCACAAAAACTGACTAACTCTCCAAAATGGCCTAAGGCACCCACCTTAAATACCATCACCAGCAAAAGATAAAAGGAAATGTTTGGGAGTGGGGAGTCAGTTATGAGAGGCTATCAAGAAAAGCATAGTAAACAAGGATAAGATTCTTAGACAGATTTAGGTTGTTGCCTTCTTAAGAGTTTCTAGAGCTTTAGTCATCCTCCTCTTCCAGTTACAGAGATGGAAACATTCTTACAAGTGGAGATTTTCCATATAAATGTAAATGTCCCTTACGAAAAAGTATCTTATACTGTCTGTCTGCTATTTCTTAAAAAATAACCAGCTCAAGATAATCCTTATACCAAAGAGGAATATTTTGGGGTGGCAAATTCTGTTCCCCTTCATGCCTAAAAGATTAATTTTAATTCTCATTTCTCCTATTTATACTTAATTTTCATCTCTTTTGAAATACTAAAAACACTATATACAGGTTTAATGAGTGACATGGACACAGTTAAAAGAATTCCCCAAAGCTGCAAAATCTTAAATTTTTTATAGAAACATTTTAATTTAGAAATATAAGACAATAGATATTTAAATATTATATTTTAGCCTATGTTTAAATGTTAATTTTTTTAGAATTATTATCACAGGTTTTAGCTGTTTGGTTGCAAATTTTTATTTTATACATAGACTTGCTGGTTTCTTCAAACATACATAATCTAATTAATAATTTAAACTCCTTACACTCTTTGGGTAGCCAGTATTTTTTAGGAGATTGCACTAATGCTTCTATTCTTATTCAGTCTCTTGTTTCAGTATCCAGGAGAAACTTAAAATATCACCTCTTTGATTTTATTTTAACTGTATGATTGTGTTTTATTGGCTTTTAACGTGCAACATAAAATAAATCAGTACTACAGTGTTTGGAGATTTGGATGTGATTGCATACTTTATAAATAATTTTGAACCATATTTTATATTCCTATTCTCATCAATAGTCATCATTAAAATTGAAAATATTTGCAGAATATTCTAAGACTTCATAGTGCTATTTATAAAAATAAGTTATACTCCAGGGATGTCAATGTAATAAAAGTACTGAACAGTATCTTGGAAAAACTAGCCTCCTTGATGCTATTTTCTATACTTTTTAAAATTTAAATATGGCTTATTAATTAAAGAACCACATAGTGAATCCTGTTTTTAGCAGAAATTTTATCTCAAATGGTGATCTTTAGCATAGCTGAATTACCACTCGACAGAGCCAAGTTTCAAGAATCCTGGATTGGATTAATGGCAGGGTATGTAGCAAGTGCTGGGACTTATTTAACATGTGACTTTGGAGAACAGTTTCCTTTTCAGCAAATTTGCACAATGGTATCCATTCTCCCTATCTCATATAGGCTTAGAGTTCATTGTCCAAAGTGCTCTTCAATGTCATCATTTGGTCAATTGATGTACACACTCACTGTATCCAATATAAGCAGTAGTAATAGGCTAATATGATCTACATATAGAGTTGGTTGAATGCAACAAATTTGTTTCAGGTAAATTCCTTCTCAGGAAAGAATATTATAAAGATATCAATACATTTATTAACAAATTTTAAATATGACCACCACAAAACTTTACTGGTTAAAAAATGGATGTAACCACATTATCTTCTCCTCTATTCTTTCAAGTTTCAAAACTAAGTTGTCTATTCCAAGTAGCTAATATTATCTGTATGTTCTATGTGTTGGAGAAAATATGTGGGCAGAAAAAATTGAATATACTTAATTAACACTACTAACCTACACTTAGAAATGGTTAAGATGATAATTTTTTTTTCTTTTTCAAAGATTTTATTTATTTTTTGACAGAGAGAGAGACAGTGAGAGAGGGAACACAAGCAGGGGAAGTGGGAGAGGGAGAAGAAGGCTTCCCGCAGAGCATTGAGCCCTATGTTGGACTCGATCCCAGGACCCTGGGATCATGACCCAAGCTGAAGGCAGACGCTTAACGACTGAGCCACCCAGGCGCCCCAAGATGATAAATTTTATGTTATGCATTCTTTACCTGTAATTTTTAAAATTCATTGATACTTCCTCCTGTCTTATACTTCTAGTGACATAATTTTTCTGACATAAATGTGACTAATAACTTTGATGACATGTGTCAATGGGATATTTAGATATCAATGGGAAATTTAGATTTCCTCATATTTCCTTGAGACAAACTATCAATATTTTCCATGGTTTACATTGACTCAAAGAGGAATTTTCTTTCTTTTCTAGCTCCTGCGCAATTATCAGCACTCATTATGGGATGCGTGTTTTGTAAGCACTATTGCTAACTGCCTCAAATCAGTGACTATAGAAGAAAGCAATAATTAAAGACTGCATTTGGTGCCAGTGTAATATTTAGGAGGAAATACACATTTTGAGAGAGATGTATAGTCCTTGATTTTTTGAAAAGTCAAGCAATAAAAATGGCCTATCTCTGCGGTATACCTTGTCAGTTTTTTACTCAGATGTGAATTAAAATTGATTGAAGAAAGATACAGTGATAAAAGCAAATGTTCTATCATTTATTAATTATATTTAAAATTTACATGAATTTATTAAGGACATTGTATAATGTTTCCACTTTATGCTTTAAACAGTTACAAACATTTGTCATAAAATAATGTGCATATCAATGTAACAAGTTTGAAAAGTGGGAAATGAGAATCTGAAGTCCGCCTTCCTTCTAACAATGATCATTAACACTCCAAATGAATGAATCATAGATTTCTCTCTCAAAATTCTAAGGTTTTTGTTTTGTTTTGTCTTTTATGAACAAAATTCTAAAGGACTTTAACATGCAATGAATATATATAACATTCAGAATAACTAGCTTCCATGCTTACACTGAACTCAACATAAGGCAAAGGCCCATAATTGTACTGATTCTTTGGCTCAGTGTGTTCAAAAAGCAAAGCAATGTGGTAAGCCTAATGAAAACAATCCTTTGTGTTTGCCAGCTTCAGATTGCTAATATGGTTGCAATAAAATTCAACCATCCTCTCTGATGAAATGTGCGGCTTTGATTAGCAGAACAGTTTGTTTTCTGAATGCAAGAGACAGGCATGAATCTGTTTCTCTAATTGTCCTCATAGCTGAGAAAATGAGGAAGAAGTATGTTTGTTTTAATAAAACATCATTCTGCCTCCTAGAATGACCACATCTGACTATGAAAGTAGTAAACCAATCAGATGTTGTCAGATGAAATATCCTGCCTTTGACCTCTTTGATACCGCCACGAACTATACAACAATTGAATGAGTTGTAGCCATGAAATTATCCATGTCACAAACACTGGTCTCTCCTTTTAATTGCTCAAGAAAAACAAGCCTTTGGTAACTTTAGTTATTGTATGCTACAATACAAAACGAATTACCAATAACCATTCCTGAACTAACTAATATATGGCCAGACATTGTTCCCATAGCAGTTTGATGTTTATTTCGATTCCTATAGTTCTCTTTGATCTTCTACCTCTTTTGACATCAGTAGGTAAATCTACAGAAATCCTTGTTCTTGAAGAATTTTCATCTTAGGAAGTTCTCATTCTTGCCTTCTGATATAAAAATAACCACTCCAGCAGATAAAATCTCTCCAAAAAAAGAGTAAGTCAAGGTTGCTTGATGACTACCACACAGGCACCTGCTCTCCCAATATTCAAAGAAGCCATCTGTTGAAAAAGATGAAACACAGTTTAAGACAAATTTTACTGTCATAGAAAAGTATACAAATTGTAATATATTTAAAACACTCATATGTGTGAAAATCATAAATACATGTGCTTATATTTTCCCAGTTTAGTCACAAGTAGGACAATAAAAATGGAAACATTGAAAATGGCTTTTACAAAAGAGCAATGATTTGCATGTTGAAATTGTTAAAGCTTGCATTCATTTTTGGAATTTTTAAGGCAAGTAGTAAGGTGTTTAATGATTTTTAGTGACATAAAGATGCTATAGTAAAGTTTCCAGCAAAGATTTATTTCTGGGCTTGCATGGACACATTTGTGATGGTATTTCATAGTGGTATCTTGGAGTATATTTTGGATGAAATAGCTATTACACTTATTGAAATCATCTTGAACTTATTCGCCCAGATATTATACTGACTTAAATGTGTTATTCATTCATTCTAAACAGAGACATACAATGAAGTAACTTCTATATTTTGTCATAATAGACCAAAATTATAATTGCTATAGTACTTATTTAAAAAATTCCAGCTTATGATAGTCATTGAGATGAGAATTGAGATTTTTTTTAATAATTCCTGAATATGAAATTGGCTAGAAATGTATTAAAAACAATAATTTTTACAGTTTGTAATGAAAACCTATTCCATGAAGGTAAGCCAAGATTTTAATAATTTGAGCATTTTGATATGAATGATTTTTATTACAGTTTTCTAAGAATAATTTATGCACTTAAAATATCAGAGTAGGGTAGAAATTAAAGGATATTACTCTAAACTGAAAAGAATGTGAATAAAATATAAGAAATAAAACAACCAAGAGCAAAATAACCTCAGATCACATACATTATCTTATTGATTGAGAAAGGACATGGTCTCACTCTCTAAATATGAAAACTACCATCGTATCTACAGTTCTTTTAAGTGTACTTACTTTTACCTGCCATCCCTTTGCAGGATAAAAAGAAGAAAAAAAAAAAAAAAAAACACAGCAACTTCCCATATGATCTATTTTTACTCATTTGTGTTAAGAATAATTTTTATGGATCACCACATCACCTTTATAATCCCATCATGTATTGTTATCTTTGTATGACAGTTATGTGAATAGAATGTCAGGAGACGATATATAAATCAATGTTCCCAAACTGAAGTGTATGTGACTCCAAAATGCACAAACTTTCCATTGTCCCTCTTTTAGTTTCCAATGATTTTTAAGTATTGTTTCACATCAGAGTCACCTAAGGAACTTTTACAAAGTATATGTGCTCATGGCCCAACACTCAATAGGAATGGGAGGAATACTGGGTGGTTGTATTTTTGAAAACTTTCCCAAATACCCTCTGATGTTTGTTCAATACTGAGAAATCCTGTGCATAGTTTCCAAAGTATAGAGTGAATAGCTTTACTTTGTATCTGTATCTACATGTACATCTATATCTCCAAACATGCATGAGTGTGTTTGTACAAATGAACCTTTGCCCTTTTTTTTCCAAAAGTGTGCTGTTCCTCCTGTGTTTCCAGTGTCAGATAATGACACCACTCTCTACTCAGTTGCTCAAGTTAGAAACCTGGAGAACATACATGACCTTTAGTTTTACCTCATCAACCTTACATCTGAATAATCATCAGGTCCTACAATATCTCTCCATCCAACGTGATTATACCCATTCCTATGGTCTGCAGCCTCGTTCACATTACAATTCTACCTTGAGTGTGAAGGCTTGCAGAGTATGTCTCCACAGGATATGCCACTTTGGCATATTAATTATTTTGAATTAAAGGTACTTGATAGATGTCTGGTACAGGAGGGACTCTCTTGACTCTTGGTCCCCCTGAAAGCAGGAAATAAATCTCCAATGTGAAAGGTAACTTCCCTTACCAGGATGATAGAAGGCATCCTTATTACCAGAGATGGAGAATTTAGAGCCAAAAAGCTGTATAAATAAACCTTGTTATTTCTTCAGTACTTTACTACCACAAGCTGAAATCCTTGGCTTGTCAGTTTGTCACAAATTTATCATTTTGTCTAAAAGGTATAAAGCTTCCGGCTTTGGCCACTTCTTTGGGTCTCCTATTTTTATGGGGTTCCCATACATATAAAACTACATTTTTCTCCCGTTAATCTGTCTTAGTTTAATTATTAGATCAACCGAATAACCTAGAAGGGAGAAGGGAAAAGTCCTCCACCTCCACAGTGGATTGGTAAAATATCCTCCTAACGAATTTCTCTGACTCTAATCTTGCTTGCTCCTAATGATTTTTCACATCCTATCAAGTGCAATCATTTTAAAACGCAATTCTGATTATTTCCTTTCCCTACTTAAAAGCTTAACTCCCACTCAGCCTTATTGTAAAGTCAAGATTCTACCGCATAGCTTCTGGCCATGCATTATTTAGACCCTGTTTATGTCTCCAAACTCCGTGCTCACCCCTTTATTTTTTTCATGTTATGTGTTCTTCCTGCAATTCTTTACAAATTCTTTTCCTCAAACCAAACCACTCCCCATATTTTCACCTGGTTAACTATTACCTACCTGTCAGGCCTCATTCTACATGTCATTTCCTGAGGTAAGATTTCTCTACCCAGCACACTTAGTTTCTATCATAGTGCTAAGTATTTTCCTTACCACAGAATTTATCATGCTATTTTGAGCATTTGATATATTCTACATACATACATTTTAAATATTTAAGAGAGCTTTTCCCCTTTCCCCCTTAGCTCTAACTTAATCTTATTTAATACATATTTTTTTTTTTTAATCTGCTATGCTCTCCCTCCAAGGTTATACCTTCAGCCCTAGAATGACATCCTAAAAAGGTTGGCCACAGAACCAATTGGAAAAAAAAACAAACAAAAAAACACAACAATGGAGAATGTAGATATCGTACCAGGCTCCCCTAGAACTTATTCTCAATATCTTCTACAGTAACCCCTCCTTGAAGGGGGAATATGTTCTAAGACCCCTAGTGGATGCCTGAAACCATGGATAGTACCAAATGCATTATATACTGTTTTTCCCTATATGTACGTACGTAGATAAAGTTTAATTTACAAATCAAGTACCAAAAGACATTAACAACAATAGCTAACAATAAAATAGAATAATTATGACAATATACTGTAATAAAAGTTTTGGGAATGTATTCTCTCTCTCTCAAAATATCTTACTGTGCTGGACCCACCCTTCTTGTGATGATGTGACATGATAAAATGCTTACGTAATGAGATGAAATAAGATGAATGATGTCAGCATTGTGACATAGCATTAGGCTACTACTAACCTTCTGACAATACATCAGAAGGAGGGTCACCTGCTTCCAGACTGTAGTAGACCGCTGCTAACTGAAAACATGGAAAGCAAAACTGCAGATAAGGGGATATGACCATGTATCTGTTGTGTGCAAATAAACGAAACCCATGCACAGCAGACCAAACTGAATTGCAATAGTTCTCAGCTACTTTATTGAAGAAATATTCACATTATCTCTTGCCCCACACCAGCAACTATGCTAGACTATGGGGAGATGATAGTAAATCACACACTCTTTTTCTTTACAACTGCAGGTGGATGCAGCATGACAGCACTGTGATGATGTAGCAAGACAACACATGAAAGGGTGGCTTTACCCAGACCAGGGGGGGTGGAATAAAGTTCTTTTTTTATGTCTTGAAGCACACGTATTTTTTTTCCCAAATAAAATAGAAGAAATAAACCCAGGGTTAAATGACAAAGTCAAATTTATTCAAATACATACACGCCCATGTACACATGTAGGCATGTGTTCTCAGTAAAACTATCTAAGACATGAATCTGGGAATTGCTCCCAAATCTATTAATATTATTTCCTATTAGTTAGCTTGGGAAATGTTCTAAATATACATTCTTGGATATTTTAATATAGTTTATTTATTCTAATGCTCAGCCACTTGGGGATGCCAATGATAAGTAAGATAACCTATTGGTTTTGTCCGTTTATGGGGTAAATGGAGGGAAAGTGACAGGTATTATCCCGCCATATGGGACTTTTTTTTCTAGGGACCTAGAATCCTGAAAATCTTCAAAGGGATCTTGTGTGGGTCTGCTGATGGTCTCTAGAGAGACTTAAAAATATAAATAATGAAAAAATATGGACGTAAAATCTTAAAGTAATTTAAGAGCTTTAAAATGAATGTTTATTGTACTTAGACAAAGTTGTTATAAAACATTTTAAATACCACCTTGTTGTTTGGAAGATAGTATATGATCCAAAAAAGTGCAATAAAATACAGATGAGGGAAAATGTTCTTCAGGAAGTTTTTACCTATTATTACATACATTATTTTGATTTCAGTTTTAGAAGGATGATAAGCATAATGGCTCATTATTATAAGTATGTAATGAAGATTATATTCTATCATTGATAATGCCCATAAACGTCCTTTATTTAATGTTCATTTGTAAAAGTGGCACATTTAAAATAAATATCATTGAACTGTTACATTTCCTTAGCAAATCAACAGTCATTAATCCATGCTGTATTTCTTTGTAAACACGAGGGACTCAGAAAGAGAAGAGGTTAAAATATATCTTCTAAAATTTCAGTGTGATAATTATAATCTTCTTTTATATTTGCTGCTGGTCTTTGGATGAAGAATGCTTCTTCTCTTACAGTTAAAGTAAAACATAGAAAATCACATGACCCAGTTCTCCAAATACTTCTTCTTTCATTCATTCTGCTTTCTTTTTTCCTTTTAGCCAAATTCATCTATCTTCATTGAAATCAAAGAGTTTTCTTTTAGAGAAGGGTAAGATTCATAAGGCAGGCACTTTAGTCTGGACATTAGGAATTTTGTTTTGTACTTCAGAGTCAGCCTATCTCTTGAACATGTATCATCAAAACTGGCCCAATCAAGGAAGTTATGTGTCTTTAAAAGTAAGTATCTTTAAAAGAAATTTACTCCAACCAGTGTTCAAGTTCTTCAGATAAACTTTAGTCAATTTCTGTGACCCCACCCACCCACCCCACCAGCAAATGGAACCCTCCATCCACTGAAGATTGTTACAAGATGAGGTTCCTATTCTGATTCAATTAAGGCAGGCTTTGGAATCTCACTGCACCCATTAATGGAAATGATGTATTTGTTTGCTGGAATGGTATCTTGCTTTTAGGTTTCTGATAAAGGGGAGGAATAATAGAAATACTGAGAGATTTGGAAAAGAAAGAAGGAAAATAGAAGTTGAATATGAGGACGCAGGTCTGAGAATATGTCCGTTCCCTCCATTATAAGCAAGGTCACAGTAGCTATACAGAATAAGGTGTCTTCCATTATAATTAAGTTGCACTGCACTCATTTTCCCCCAGCACCCACACAGGCAACACAAATCTTCTAGCTGTGTGACCTGAATGGGAGCTACATTATTCTAGCATGATCCTGAGTCTCTAACCACAGTGTACTATAGATCAAGAGATACCACCTCACTTAAGATCGGCCAATTATTTCACTCTGTCTTCCTGGCCAAAGTGATTGTCCGGGAGTGAGCACTTTCTACATGATCGATCATTTAGAGATCTTTGCTGTTTTGCTTTTGTTTTCTGTTTATGGATTGAGGATTACTACTTGGAGCTTCCAGCAGCTCCGCTCCATGGAAAATTCTCTCTGCAGTAGGTGAAAATGGACCTATCCGATAGGACCTAAAGATAGTCAAGCAAAAATAGGAGGCAGGAAGTTGACTTCTGTAGCTTTCCATCTTCTTATTCCAGTTATCTCTAAAACCAAATATTCTAAAGTTAGGTTTTTGTGAACCAATATATACCACTTTGTTTTCTGTTTGTTTCAGCTAATTAAAATTCAGTTCCTGACTGTCGTTATTACTTATAATAAAGTGGAAATCCCAATGAGGCATGAATGTCACCTTTTAATATGAATTTTATTAAAGTATAGAATACATAAAAGTACACAAAAACATGTGATTTACAAAATGAACGTGACAATGGGCTAAATCAATCACTTTGGGCTCAAGGAAATTTAGAAGGAAGTAAATGAAGTAAATTCTTGTATTTGAAGTAAATTATGCTGGCAACAGTCTTACCTGTGTCCACTCATTTGTTTGTGGATCATAGGATTCCATAGTGTTGAGGTATGTCTGCCCATCATAGCCACCAACGGCATATAATCTGTCACCAAGGAGACAGACTCCAACAGCATCTCTGGGCATACTCAAAGGAGCCACCATGGTCCATGTGTCTGTTTTGGGATCGTATCTAAAATGTAAGGATAATAGGATATAGCATGTTCTAATCACATCCAGCTTTTACTATATGAATGGTACTCTTTCAAAAGCACACCATGAGAAAAAAAAAACTACGTTTTTTTACTAGAAGCTCAATCATTTGAGCAGATGTTCAAGAGTTAATATCCACAATGTCTGGCTTTCTAAATTTTAAGGTATATTAAAAATATACCTTGACTGGATGTCCAGGTACTCAACAAAAATCTACATCATGATTTCTTCCACAAGGAAGGCAGATATGTAAATAACTACTATCCACTGCAGAATGAGGTTCAGTAAAGCAAATATAAGCAAAGTGCTGTGGTAATGAAACAGAAGTAATGGTTAAAAATCTGGGAGAATTATGGACTTCTCCACAGTTGAAGTCTGCTGTAAATCAGGTCTGAAGGTGTAGCTAAATTTGCTAGAAAGAAAAGGAGACATTTATGCGAAAGAACTGAAGTGTTAATAAAAATGCATGGCCAACTTTGAGGAAAGCAGGGGTGCAGGGTGGCTAAGTTCAGGAATAGAGGAAGGAGCAGAGTACCTGGAAGGGTGTTTTTTGATGGGCTTATGGTTTGTGTGATGAGTAAGAAGGTGTTTTGTGTTTTAATAGGAAAACCTGGGGAAAATAATTACAATGTGACCAGAACTGTGCTTTAGTGGCGTTCTTTGGGATTCACTTTAAGGGAGAGATTGGTAAATCAAGAGATTGAAGCAGGGGGCACAAGTTATTATTACTGAACTTAAACCAAAAATAATTTAATTTCCAGAAAGTCTGACTACCATGCATTACGTATGGATATTTTGTATTTTGAGTGGCAAAAGCCTGAAGAATACTTTCGTGAATGTACTTTACTGTAGCTAAGAATGAATGATTAAACCACTTCTTTGCCTTTAACCTGCACATTCAAGGTCAGATACAGAAATGAAAAAGCTAGTAAGAGCCCGGCAGAGTAAATATAAAAGAAGACTGGGTGAAAGTTTGTTTTTTTTTAACAGATACAATAAATATATTTTTAGTTTGTTTTTCCACTCCAGTCTTATGTTTCACCAATTGAAACTTTCAACCCACAGACTCCTAAAACAAAGAAACAAACACAAGCAAAAACAAAAACAAAAAGCCACCTACATGTTTATTGAAAATAAAGAAGGTTGTTACAAAAGAAATGGTTAGGGAGGACCCCAAGGGTCGGAAATTTATATTTCTCTATATTCACGTTATCCAAGATGTTACATGCATTTACACGCCACGGTGGGAGAGGTTGTGACAGCCAAGATAATCTACGTGAAATGAGAAATTTGTTGAATGCCTGCAAAACCAGGCAAATAAAAATGTAATTTTACATGCTATAGTTAATAAATGTAAAACATCACAAACACAGGCACATATAGACACACACAAACACAATCTATGTCATCAAAACCTTTATTTAAACTTACCACGAAGAAAAGACAAACTTATCATGAACATATAAAATATGAAATCTTTTATATGAAATATAAAATATTTTTTTAAAATAAGGACAAAAGAAAGAAGAGGAGGAGGAGGTAGAGGAGGAGGAGAAGGAAAGAAGATACCTCAAGGAATCAGATAGGAGAATCCAGAGAGTGGAATGTTTTATTGGATAACTGACTGAATTCTCCAACAAATCAATAGCAAAACAAACAAGCAAACCCCCAGTAATAATGAACAGATAATTAGGAAGAAGTAGCTGTTCTAAATGAATTGTGATTAAACATAACAAAAAAAGTAAGTGAATCTTATTTGGATCCCAATTCAAATAGACCAACTTTTAAAGGATGTTTGAGACATTTTGAAAATTTTAATATACCCTGGGCATTAGATTTTAATAAGGAATTACTGAAGTTCTTATTAGTTCTGATAATAGCATTGTTGTTATGTTAAAAAAAAAAAGTCCTGATCATTTTTGGTTGTTTGTTTCTGGGATGAATTCAAAAATATTTTAAGCTAAAATGACATGTTTGAGAATTTCTTTGAAATACTTCAAAAAAAAAAAAAGAGAGAGAAGGGAAATGGAATAAACAAGAATGACACACTGGTGATCATGGTTGAGGCCGGGTAATGAGTACAGGGAAGTTTACTGTATTGTTTACTTTTTTGTTTGTCAGAAAAGATCTGTAGTAAAAATAACTTTAAAAGTAAGAATGTATAGGGCACCTGGGTGGCTCAGTTGGTTAAGCGACTGCCTTCGGCTCAGGTCACGATCCTGGAGTCACAGGATCGAGTCCCGCCTCGGGCTCCCTGCTCGGCAGGGAGTCTGCTTCTCCCTCTGACCCTCCCCCCTCTCATGCTCTCTCTCTCTCATTCTCTCTCTCAAATAAATAAATAAAATCTTTTAAAAAAAAAGTAAGAATGTATAATACACTTTAATTTTCAAGGAAAAGCGAACGTTCTTTACACTTTATTCATCCTTCAGTAAAATCCAGCCTGGCTTTTGTCACAATCACTTCACTTAAATAGCTTTTTCTGAAGTCACACTTTATCCCACATTTAATTGCTATCCAGCTCTATAGAATTTTTTTTCAACTATTGTCTGCAAAGCAGACTTTATCACTTTGCAAAAAGGCAGAAGACCTGAGAAAATAGCCAACACTAGGGCATGGAGCAATAATAATAAATGAATTTCTGAAGACTTATGAAATTTCAAGTGAAACTCAAATATTGAACAATTCTCAAATACTCATATTCCAGGGAAATATAAGAAAACACTAGTATGTCCTATATTTAGGTGTACATTTAGAAATAATATTCTATACTTAGAAATAGATATCACTTTTTTATATATATTTTACAAAATTCCTGAAGAGAACTTTAAAAATTTAATGCATTCTAGAAAATCCAGATCTTTGGATTAGATGTGCCTGTCTTCAAATCTAGGTAATATCTTTTTTTTCTTATAATAACAAGCTTTTAATTCATATATGGAAATGGTGAAAATTTAAATTTAAATTTCTATATTGTAATCCAAAAAATGAAACCAAAACAAAACAAAAACAATCCAACTCCTCCCCACCCATATACACACTCTCTCCTGGATACAGAGGAAGTAATTACATAAATACAAAGTTACCTACTAGTGGTTATCCTTGTTTGCAAATTAATGAATCTAAATTGATTTTTCTATATTCAGAACTCAATGGATTCACCTCTCAGCCTGAGGATATACAAAATTGTTACCCCCATAAATGAAATAGACAGCTTTTTTTAACCTAAGGAGAAGATCCACAGATGTATAGCCATTTTCCAAACAATTATTAACAGTGAACTCAGTCATTGTCAGTTAACATTTTTGATGAAACTTAGTCCTAAACGTTACTTTTTTCTCTGGTTCTTTATTTAAAAAAAAAAAAACAAAACAAAACAGGGCGCCTGGGTGGCTCAGTTGTTAAGCGTCTGCCTTCAGCTCAGGTCATGATCCCAGGGTCCTGGGATCGAGGCCCACCAAGGGGCTCCCTGCTCAGCAGGAAGCCCGCTTCTCCCTCCCCCACTCCCCCTCCTTGTGTAAATAAAATCTTAAAAAAAAAAAAAAAAAAAAAAAAGAACAAGGCAGCAGGGGCAGTGGAGGGGTTAGAGTAGCTGTCCTTTGTATTTAGACTGTCCGCTTTTCCTACATCTCACCTTGGCCTTCGTGGTCAGAGTGTGAGCTCTGTATCAGGGACTCTATTAAAGTTTGTAGCCTTTAGACAAGAGAAGTACCAGTATGTAGGGGCTAAAATTGGCTGTGAAATGAAAACTTGCAGAAGGCATATGAGAGTCACAGAATAAAACTGTGTCTCATTGAAAATCCCCACTGAAGTTTTTGAGGTACCATTAATTTTTTAAGCCCTGTTTTTTTTTTTTTCTATTAAGGATAAAAATTGATCTTAAAATATTTAAAGAGAAGCAGTTTTTAAGTATGCAAGCCTTACTTCGGGAAAAAATAGAATTAATACTCATTTTCCTAAATTTGTACAAGCAATATTCAACCAGAAAGCAAATTAAACAATATAGAAGTGATTTGTAGCCAGGTTTGTTTGCCTGTAAAACAAAATAAAGCAAACAAGAAAACAGAGAAATAAGATGAGATCCATGCTGTGAAAATGGATAAACAGCTCTGAAAAGAGAGGCTTTTAGATTTCTGGTAAATGAATTATAGAATCTGTGTTTGAATTTTCATAAATTATTTGAATTAAGCAATTAAGAGTGACAATAATGCTGCTCAAAATACATTCTAGTTTTCCTGTAAAGAAAATCAACATCTGTCTATCAGGTCTCATGAGATTATGACTTCAGAAATGCTTACATGATGGGAAAGGAAAGTAAATTAATTCTAATAAAATTAATTTTAAAAAACTTAATAACTAAAAATATTCCTATAAACATCATAGTTCAGATATTTTCATATATATGCATATCTAATGGGTATTTAGGAATAGAATTTCTGGGTCAAAGAGAATGCATATTTTGAAATGTGGTAGATACTGCCTACTGGTATTACAGAGTCTGGGCCAATTTGCACTCCCACCATGAGTGTAATAAGAGTTTCAGTTGCTCTACGTCTTCTCCAACATTTGGTATTAGCTATTTTCATTTTAGCCTTTCTAGTAGGTCCTGGTATGATATTGTGATTTTAATTTTCATTTCTCTGATGCCTAATGACATCAAGCATTTTTCCCAATAGTCATCTTTCCAAGAGTTCTTGTTAAAATCTTCTGCCAAGGGGTGCCTGGGTGGCTCAGTTGGTTAAGCGACTGCCTTCGGCTCAGGTCATGATCCTGGAGTCCCGGGATCGAGTCCCACATCGGGCTCCCTGCTCGGCAGGGAGTCTGCTTCTCCCTCTGACCTTCCTCCATCTCATGCTGTCTCTCATTCTCTGTCTCTCAAATAAATAAATAAAATCTTAAAAAAAAAAAAAAAAACTTCTGCCAAGAAGATTTATTTATTAGATTTATTTATTAGAAACAAGAATTGGAATTGGGCACGTTCTG